GCTGGCTTTCGAGGAATTGCATTTGCTTCTGCAGAGTTGTCGCCTAAGGAGCTATCGTTGCGGGCATCAGGTTTGGTGAGCTGCGAACCCCTCTCTGCTACTTTAACGATCTCACAGATCTCAGCGGGCGAACCGTCTGGCGAGACCTTCAGAACTCGAACAAAGCTCGGTTGACCATTAATCAGACCCATGCACATAGTGAACGAGAAGCGGATGTCTCCGAGCTTGAGTATGTTCATCTGCCATCCGATCTGCTCGTGAGGGAACTTGCTCGGGAGCTTATACTCCAAATTCTTCTTCGCCATCTGGAAGAAGCGGTTATCCTCATATTCGCCGTAATGGTGTAATGAGCAACCATGAGGAGATTCTACTCCGAATCGGTTGCCGCAGAACCGCCACTGACCATTGGCCATCTGAATGGGTACGCAACAGTATGCGAGATGCAGCCGTTCGAAGCAACTGCGCTTGATCGTGCCGCATCCAGACTCTGCACAGTGGTGTCCTTCCATGTCGTATGTCATTCGCCAAATGTTAGAATAACGGGCACTCCAGGAGATCACCCAACCGGGCCCATAGAGCCGCAGGAAGGGCAAATTGAATACTGCCATGGTGGATATTCTCAAAGGTACGGACCAGAACTTTGAGCTTCGAGATCCTGTTATTGGGTTCTTAAGGGGGCAAGGAATGTCTTTTTCTGGATATTTGATCAACAGTGGGGTTAAATGTGCGCGTACTGATGTTGAACAGTAAAGCCAGGGTATTCTGCGAACTTTTGAACTGGCAAGAACTGGGCCATGTGAAAGGCATAAGTGTAATCTATCGCTTCACGATCGCACTGATCGGTAGTAGTGAATCACGAAGGACATAGTCAAAGCTTTTGGCTCTTGCTAATACATAAACACATTCTTACTTGGACCTTACAACCACCTGCCACCATCTCACGATCACGAGTGGTCAACTCAACGCTACTTAGCTATGGGCATTCTAAGCAAGATCACAAGCCTATGGCCGAATAGTCAACCGAAGGTGGCAACGCCCAATGCATCTTCTGTTATCTCGCCTGCACACAGCGACAACTCTTACCAGCTCGAACCGCTCACACTCAGCCTTGAGCTGGAGTCCAGTGGTGGGTGGGAAGTTGATGGCATCTGTCGAGAGTCTGATCTTACTGAGCCCGGTGTTGACCAGATTCCAAACAAAGGCTTTGCGCTGCCGTTCGATAACCATATCACCATTGCGAAAGACAACCATGTCCTTGACAAAGCAGATAAAGGATTGGCCGCTTGCAAAAGCATCGCAGCTGACGGCAAACGTACGACTCCTGTTGCTGGGAGCCAATCATCCGTCGCCTCCACTCTGACTTTCGGGCTTGCTGGGTCCATCTTCGATAAGATATATCACCACAATAGCAACACGACGACGAACGGATCAACTACGATTACTCGTTCCGGAATGGACGGCATGGGCGACGCATCGACGGCAGTAAACCTTCACGACGACATATCGGAGAGCTTTGGCGTGACCTCGGATCCGTCGAGCCGTAGCCAGCAAAGGGATTGCGCATCCTTGCGAAACACACAAGGATACCAAGGATGTGATAACCTTCCACTGCCAAGTAACGAGACGCAGCCGCAAGACGGTCATACATGCACACATGCAAAGAATGGAGCAGATTCTGGCACTGAGGACGATCGCGACACCACCGTCAAGACAGATGCATCTGAAGCCGGAGTGTCTCGCTTTGATTGGGAAAAGATTCACGCAATTCCTGATTCGACATTCAGAGAGCTACTGCACTCGGTTATCGAGAGCTACTGCTCCGTCGATATTGCTTTAGAGGAATGCCACGTTACGCAACGCATGGATGGCGGATTTCATCATGTTGTGTTCATGGCAGCCATAAAAGACGAGCCTCCATACCGTCGTATCGAACGATATGTTTTCAGAGTCCCTGCTATTGGTACTGCAGCCCGGTGGCAGCCAGGCGACCAGCACAACCTGCACTGCGAAGTGGCCTTGATGCAGTGGCTGCGAAACAAAACTTCTATCCCGGTACCAGAAGTCGTTGACTTCGCTTTAGATATCGAGACCTCTTTCATCGGCGCACCATACATCTTGATGAAGCGCATGCCAGGAAAAGCTGCGCAAAACGTCTGGTATGACAAGCCTAGTGATCGCAATCATGTCACTACCAACTGCGTTTCTCCAGAAACGGAAAAGAAGCGTCGTAATATTCTGCGTTCAATTGCGCAGCGTATGTCACAGCTAAGAGACGTGAGCTTCAACGAAATTGGTCTTGTAGATTGCAAGGACGCACTTTCTTTGGGCGCGACGCCAACAACCACGGTCTCATATCGCTGGAAGCCGCCGTACGAACTCACTGCGGAGGATCTAGAAGGACCAACCCAAGTGTACCGATATGGACCATTCAAGAAGAACCTGGACTATTGGATGCTGAACCTAGAGGAGAACTGGCCTGCGATCCCTGAATACGATCCAGATGTTGATCAAGATGCACTGAACATGGTATCTGGAATACGCAAGATCATCGACATGCTTCACGACCACCCTACGATCGCCGTTTCGAAGAAGGATCCCGCAGACGCCGACGAGAACGAGACGTTCGTCATCCGTCACCCTGATCTCGATCTACAGAACATCCTCGTAGACGACGACGGCAATGTCACAGGCATCATCGACTGGGACAACTGTCTCGCCGTCCCTCGCTGTATTGGCTATGCTTCACTACCCGACTTCCTCCGTCGCGATTGGAACGATGACTTTTCTCTCGCTGACTCACCCCACATGCCCACATGGGAGATCCAGAAGTATGCGGACATATATGCCGATGCCATGGCAGAGACTGGTTGCTCCGACGCGACATACACGCGCAAGTCTGGCATGTATCGTGCTATTGCTGGTGCAATTGATCAGGGCGATATCACGGATGTGATTGAGAAGTTATTTGCTCATATTCCAGGGTTGAGGATGAGTAATGTTGAGGAGCTCCAGCGACTGATAGGTGGAGGATGGGTTGAGGGTGAGGAGTATATCAGGAAGGCGCTTGGGGAGTTGTTAGAGCCCAGTAGCCGCTTTGTTTGATTCGCTTGTGTTCAAGTGGCGGATACCCACCCCAACTGGGACGCCTAAACTGCAAGGACGGAATCGGCACACGTGCAGGCAACCATACACATCTACATCTGAGTCATCCACTTCAATACAAGAAATCCCTCCTGCTGCCATCATTGTTATACAAATCTCCCCAGTTCTGTTTATCGATCTGCAAAGATAGTCAAGATACCACAATGGCTAATGATCGATGCGGGATCTGCTACGAATGCACACGCTACCAAGATCAACTGGACACCACCCAAGAAGCCGCACACGAACCAACACCCAGCGACACAAAGTCCACTGATAGTACCCCAGCCGAAAATGCCGATCTACAATGCGCTCGCCCGAAAATAAACCGTGAACCACTAGCATGGTCTCTAGATCCTTCAAGAGTCCTACCCCAACACAACTGCCGCCTCTTCACATCACTTCCTCTGGAACTCAGAGAGATAATCCATACCTACGTTCTCACGGACACAACTTCCTACCCCATCGACTACCTTGGCCCCAAAGACTCCATACCAGTCGTTCATGTCAAATACCTCGGTCACGGTCAAAATGCTAGGAGTTTGGCTGGCGGGAGACCTTTGCATCCTTCTGATATAACGGTATCACTCCTCCATACTTGTAAGGCGGTGTATCTGGAGACGTGGAACATGCCATCGAAGGTGAATGCATACCGCATGGGTGCATCTCGACATCTTCGAAGCGCTGGAATGCCAGCATGGCAACTAGCACAGATACGCGGACTGGACATCACAATCAAGCAGCGTGAGCTGGAAAACGGGAAGCTGGGGGATGTCTTGAAAGCGATGGGAGGCAACGCTAGACAGCAGGGCGCATACGTGGTGCCTATGCGCTGTTTCCGTGATGATGGATGGACGAAGATAGAGGGGTGCTCACGCACTCTTGACGACAATGTTCTTGTACCGGCCACAGTCGACTTACCGGATACACAACCTCAACGACTAAACGATATTCTAAATCGTCTTCCCACCCACGCGGAATCCATGCTACCTTCATCTCGCAGCCTCCACGTCACCCTCGCTCAACCCCTAACCCATCTCACACTACGTCTCACACGCACCGACTGGTCAACACGGAACGTAGCCAAAAACCTCCATTTCGACCCGTCGTTCGGACGCTACAACCTCGACGAGGGCCGCCCCTCGGCCAAAGCAATGCGTCTGCGCGCTGAACGGCGCAAGGCTGGTCGACATCCGCGGCTCCACTCGCAGTCTTGGGGCGCGCATGTCGTTTCTGCGTTGCCTGATCTGAAGACGCTGGAGTTGGTGCTGGAGACGTTCGAGGCGAGGAAGGAGGAGTTGGAACGCGTTGTACAGTATGCGAAGATGTGGAGGTTTGGGTTTGGTGGTGATGGGGAAGAAGAGGGGAAGGGGAAAGAGTGGGCATTAGTTTGGGATGGGGATGTAGTGGAAAGGCGGTGGAAGAGGGATTTGGGAGAGACTGTGGTATCGAGGCGTGATCGTAGGCTTTTGCGGCCTGGACCTTCGTGCAATGATTGTAATGATTTTGAGGTGAGGACGCTGCGGTATGTTAGGACGAGAGTGGTGGAGTAGTCTATGCCGTAATTCAGGCTGTTCGACCGCGTGGACTATGATGGGCAAAAAGAAAGCCTTTTTGGCAAAAACATACAACAGCGGGGATTCGCTAGTGGTCACCCACCTAACTACTAATCCGCCGGTATCATGCTTGTATATGGCTGAGCGGACGGGAAGCCTAATTTTCATGATCCTATGGTCGTATGTGGAAGGGTGGGCAGTCTGCCAGATCATAATGCCGCTTCAAAGTAGCTGTTCATGTACGCGATTGCAATTCTATGCCGGACTTTGCGCATAGCTCACCAAATGATTCTGCCAGGCACTTTACATCTTGCTTCCACCCTCTTGTGGTACCTTGACAACAACCTTACCCCAGCTATTGCGGCCACCCAACGCCTTTAGCGCCGCGGGTACACTGTCAAGACCGACGTACTCCACATCGGTAAAAGCAGTGCCCTTGTATTTCCCCTCCTTGACAAGCTGGAAGATACCGTCCCAAACCTTATCCTGCATCTCGGGCTCGTTTATCGCGTACGCACCCCAATGCAACCCAACAACACTAACGTTCTTCAGCAAAATGCGGTTCGTAGCCATCTTCTCGATATCGCCCGCCGCAAAACCAATGACCAGAAGTCTGCCGTTCCAAGCCGTGCACTTCATGGACTGAGCGATCAGTCCCACAGGGTCGTATACGATATCAACGCCACGGCCCTTGGGAGTGAGCTTCTTCACTTGCTCGGGCCAATCTTTATCGCGGTAGGAGACGGCGTAGTCTGCGCCGAAGGCACGCGCGACGTCGAGTTTGTGTGATGTGCCAGCTGTGGCTACGACGGTCGCGCCGAAGGCTTTGGCGATTTGCACGGCGGCGAGACCGACGCCGCCGGCTGCTGCGTGGACGAGTACCCAGTCGCCTACAGAGCAGTGTTAGCTTCTTCATAGGAAGATGAGCAGGGTTCGGAGTTCCGATTGCTTACCCTTCTTGATGCCTGCTCTAGTCACCAGACCGGCATAGCTCGTCGGCGCTGTAACGAATACACCAGCAGCATCTTCGAAACTCCATCCCTCGGGCACGGGCTTAAGTCTCTCTTCTGTGCAAACGATGTGTGTTGCGTAGCCACCTTGGGAAGCACCAAAGACCTTGTCGCCCTCCTTGAACTTTGGTGTCTTGCCTCCTGCGAGCGAGGTCGGTGCTTTGAGGACAACGCCGGAGAACTCTGAACCGGCTATCCAGGGAAATGCAGGTTGGTGTTGATATTTGCCGCGGATCTGGAGGAGATCGAAGAAGTTGGTTGCTGAGGCGTGGATGGCGATTAGGTACTCGTTCGATTTGGGAGTCGGGGTCGGGAGATCGAGGACCTTGAGATCCTCTGGCCCCTGGGAGAGTTAGAGATGAAGCAGGTATCCTGGCATGAGGATACTTACGTTGACATATTCCCTGATCTGTATGCCTTTCATGTTGAGGTTTGACGGATATATATGGTAGCAAACAGCTTCAATTGTTGGATATGGGAGAGGTTCAGTCAGGAGCTCGAAGATGAGTTCGGGTAGATAGAACAGACGCGGGCGCCATTGTAGCTTGCATGACGGCCGACAGCTACTCAACGCTCAAAAGATACCTCGGCTGGCTTCCCCGGTCAACCTCCGCTCCTGCCCCCACCCGGAAGCTTGGCGCGCGTCTCTTAGTCAGCGGAAGGCGCGCGATATGCACGGGCGTGCGCTAAAAACGGCAGGGTACCAGGTGCGGGTCCAGTGACGTTCTACTGCCTTCCAATCCTATCCAAAGCTAAGGACGGCCTCTCGCACAGTCAAACATCTCTGCTGCTATACACCACTCACACTCGCCAAGGACACGTATCATTTCGCAGTCAACAGTCATACCCAGACTGCTCTATTCCTCCAAGTGCCTGTAGAGCTTCCTATCACTACCCCGCGCTCGTAAATCAGCGACCATGGCCGACGACGCCGCCACAGCCACCGAGGACGCGCAGATTACCTTCAATGTCAAGGCTGCAAACGACCAGAAGCACGTTCTCACACTACCCCAAACCACCACAGTTGCCGACCTCAAGGCCAAGCTCTCGACGTCGGAATACGCAGATGTTCCCGCCGAACGCCAACGCCTGATATACTCCGGTCGCGTACTGAAGGACCACGACACACTCGCTAGCGTCAAGATCAAGGATGGCCACACAGTCCATCTCGTCAAGGGTGCCGCCAGCAACGTACGAAACCAAGGCACGGCAGGCACAGCAAGCGGGGGCAGCACCCAGACGCCACAGGTGCCGACCAACATTGCTGCAGGAACAGGCAACAACCCTCTCGCTGGGCTCACAGGCGCGCGCTATGCCGGTTTCCACGGTCTACCAGGCATGGACACTTTCGGACCAGACGGTGGCGTAAGTCTAAATCAACCCGACATTCGACATGGACATTTTACTGACACGTGGTAGATGGGCGGCCCTCCTACAAACCCAGAAGCGTTACTAGAGCAAATGGAGAACCCCATGTTTCTATCGCAGATGAACGAGGCTATGAACAACCCAGCAGTAGTAGAAATGATGCTGCAGAGCCCCATGGTAAGTTTGTTCCCTCTTTCGACTATGCATCGTCTAATCTAAGACAGATCCGCGACAACCCGATGCTTCAGCAAGTACTCCGAAACCCCGAAATGCGCCGTATGATGTTCAGCCCAGAGATGATGCGCATGCAACTACAGATGCAGCGGAATATGGGCCCCACAGGCCCGAGTTTCCCAGCCCCAGGAGCTACCGACAACACTACACAGCCAGGTTCGACTGCAACAGGCGAAGGCACAACCGCGACACCGAACCAGCCTAATACGACCGGACCGACAGACCCATTCTCCGCATTCGGTACAGCCGGTGGTGCCGCAGGCGCTGGAGCAAACCCGTTCGCCAATCTGTTTGCTGGAGGCCAGAATCCTTTGGCTCCTCAGCAACAGGGTGGTGCGGCACAAGACACACAAGACGCCTCGGGCACCTTCCCCAACTTGTTTGGTGGAGCTGGCGCACAAGGCGGGCAAGCGAACCCGTTCGCGGCGGCCGCCCAAAGGATGATGCAGGACCCAGAAGCCATGCGCAACATGATGCAGATGATGGGCGGTGCAGGAGGCGCAGGAGCGAACCCATTCGCAGCCTTTGGTGGACAAGACGCAGCAGGAGCTCCAGGAGGCGAAGCAGGCCAACAAGCCGGCGGCAACCCCTTCGCCGCACTCTTCGGCCCCGGCGGATTTGGCCGCGCAGGCGGCTTCGGTGCCCCACCAGCCCCAGCAGACAACCGGCCACCTGAGGAAATCTACGAGGTACAACTCAGACAGCTCAACGAAATGGGCTTCTACGAGTTCGACCGCAACGTCGCCGCCCTACGGCGCAGCGGCGGCAACGTCCAAGGCGCAATCGAGCACCTTCTCGGCGGCGGAGCGTAGCGAGCTTTCCCCCGCATCTTCTTGCTCCCCGTGCCCCCAGAACGACCGTACTTGACGCAGGACGAATTATAGGAAATCGAACGTTATGAAGAAAGAGAAAGAGAGCGGCAATTAGCTGCCGACGACGCTGGTGACGATATCGAGGGTGTCGAGGAGGCTTATGATAGTGACGAGGAGGCTTATGATAGTGACGAGGATTGGTCTTTTGCGTTTGAGGATGATGAGACGCTCGTTGCGTTTGATGGACTCAAGAAGTGAGTGATATTGATGATGACGAGAGCGGTGGTAATCATTTGGTAAGGCGTACACGGGAGCCTGTGGATAGATAGTACAGATACCAAGCAGTAGGCAACACGATAATGCCGATTCGTACAACATATCTTGCATGATGGCTTTGTGGTGAACACGATCTGGAGAGTAGCATCTTTGATTCCAGTCTACGTTGATTTACAAAACAGATTATTGTTACTTCGTCTTTAATCACATGCAATTTTTGTCTTATTCGATTCGCCTCTGATTAAACCCCCGCATAGATGAGAAAAGCGCTCGCAACTTCAAAAACGCCAGGCTGAACCTTCCAACGGCAGCCTTATATTTCCTCTTTCAATTCATTCTGCCAACCTTCGACAAAAAACTTCACAAAAAAACGCCATTACCATGCAGAAAGAAAAAACACGACTACGAGAAAACCCGAAAGTACGAATACCCTCGACCAGATTTCTGCTTCGAAGACAGGCTAAGCCTGTCCATAGCGTCCGACAACGACTAGTCACGGACGCTCAATCCAGAGCGATCGGTAAACATGCGGGTGGCAATGTTCATGGCGAGGAGTTCCTGGAAGAGCAGCTTGGCGGCGTAGGGGATGTGGATTTGGGAGATGCGGGTTTTGTTGTGGCAGGGGCGGCATTCGTAGAGGCCCTTTTTGAGTTGGCTGGGTAGTCGAATTAGTTAAAAGTTGACTACTAGGGAGGGGGAGATGTGGGAGAGGGGAAACTTACGCAATAGGACTCATCAGACCGCAGATGTCGCACACGTGTACGGTGTACGCGTCTGAGACGGTAAAGAGACGTTCTTTCAAGAAGGCGGCGGCGCCGTGCGCAATCATGCAATCACGTTCCATCTCGCCGAAACGAAGGCCACCGTCCCTAGCACGACCCTCGACAGGCTGGCGAGTAAGAATCTGAAGGGGACCGCGCGCACGAGCGTGGATCTTGTCGTCGACCATATGCCTGAGACGTTGGTAGTATGTCGGGCCTAGGAAGATCTGCGTGCGCATCTTCTTGCCGGTGTGCCCGTTGTACATGATTTCGAAACCGCGCTTTTGGTAGCCGGCGTCTTCGAGCAGACCGGAGACTTGGTCGACGGTGATGTCGGTGAAGGGGGTGGCGTCTCCTTCTTGTCCGGTGATGGCGCCGACCTTCGAGAGTAGACACTCGATCAAATGGGCAATTGTCATACGGGAGGGAATGGCGTGGGGGTTGATGATCAGATCAGGGGTGAGGCCTTCCTTGGAGAACGGCATGTCTTCTTGACGGTAAGTGATACCAATGGTTCCCTTTTGTCCGTGACGAGAAGCGAACTTGTCACCGATTTGCGGCACCTTGGTCGTTCGTGTACGGACCTTGACGAAGCGCAGTCCCTCAGTATTGGTAGTGAACAGTACTTGGTCGACAATACCGTTCTCGGTGCTACGCAGTGGTGTTGAGACATCACGCTTGGTGTGGAGAGTAGTCTTCTGGCCGAGCTCCTGAGCGTCGGTGGCAATGGGCGCGGTCTTTCCGATGATGATATCGTCACCGGACACACGCACACCAGGCGCAACGACACCATCGTCATCGAGCTTGTCGTATGTTCCACCCTTCAGACGAAGTGTATCGGCACGCGTAGGCTTCTCGAACTGCTCCAGAACGTTGACACCGATACGCTTCTCCTGCTCCGTGTACGCACGGTAGAACAGACTCCTGAAGAGTCCACGATCGATACTGCTCTGGTTCATGATAACGGAATCTTCCTGATTGTAACCACCGTATGTGGCAATGGCGACGATAGCATTTTGACCGGCTGGAAGCTCACGGAACTTGAGGTACTCCATCGATCGAGTAGTAGCCAAAGGCTTCTGGGGGTAGTATAGGACGTTCATCATGGTTTCCATGCGCAGCGCGAAGTTGGTGAGGGCGACACCCATGGCTTGTTTACCCATGGCAGATTGGTAGGTGTTACGGGGCGACTGGTTGTGATCGGGGAAAGGAATGATACTGGCACAAATACCCAGGATCATGGCCGGGTGAATCTCGCAATGAGTGTAGGCGTGGATGCGTGGGTCTGGTAGTGGCTTGAGACGTCGAAGACGGTGCTCGCCTTCGGTAGATCGCTCAGCCGCAGGTAGGCCCATCTTCATCTCTCGCCACTCTTCCAGATCCTCAGGAGAGAATGTTATCATGGCAGTCTCCTCCTCCTCGGCATCGAGGTATTCCACAACACCATCCTGGATAAGACCTCTCCAGCCGTATGTGGCTTGCTCGACCTCATCCTGACTCCATCCCTGTCGCGTGCTTGTCTCCATCTGTTCCTGCTTGAGCTTGTTACTGATCTCCTTGGTAAAGATGAGGTGGTTGCGGTTCGGTTTCCGAATGTCGTTCTCAACAACGAACAATGGTCTCATGACACGGCCGGCATCTGTGAAGATCTTGAATTCTCGGTCACGAATGTCACGAATCAAACTCATCTCGTAAGATAGAGTTCCGTTTCGTCGCAGCTCCTGCACGACTGTGACAAGTTGTTGGGCGTTGGAGTGAACACCAACCCAGACACCATTAACGAAGACTTTGGTCGCATCTGGGTTCTGGTTTTGGTCGTACTCTTCGAGAAGCTGCATGTTTCGCTGTGTCATGAAGTCGATGATAGGCGACGCGTCGCTACCGACACTGACGTAGCACATCAAAGACAAGTTCTTGACCAGACCACAAGCTTGTCCTTCAGGAGTCTCGGCAGGGCAAACAAGACCCCAATG